GCGCAAGTATGCGATATGGAATGCTTCTAACTCTTCAACGAGGCTTCTGATCCGGATAAAGTGAAGAAAACCTTGATTGAGCAGTTAGGCTGTGGCAGGAAAGGAAGTTTGGACGCCGTTAGCTCATTGATCGAAGAAATTACGCCAGTCCGGACGTTTTTATTAATAGGCTACTATTTTGCGCATGTCATTTTGTATGCGAGTGTGGTTGCGCTAAGTCCATGATATCTGCCGCGCTCCACAGCCAAACCTATGACCGGGGCAAAACTATGAAAGTAGATGTTGTGTGTTCCAAATACGTCTGATCTGTACAATGGCATGGCGAATTTGTACGGGGCAAGGGACAAGCGTTTTACCTTGCGACGCGTGCTCCGCAGGGACATCCAGTTCGTGCGTTCAAGGAATCGACAACACCCTAGTTCCCCAATCAGGGTTTGAAATTGTGCATCACGTTTTGAAGAGAAAAGTGAAACTGGGAGAGAATGACGAGCATTGTCTCAAATCAAAAATGATCGAAAGTTTCTTTCCGTAACCTGGCACATTTTATTAGGACTCGAGATTAATTACGGGTGTAATATTGTGTTTATTGTGCCACTCCATGGGCTAAAAAATTGTCACTTCATGATTGTTAACACTTAGCTGAAAGGGAAGCAGTTGCAATTCTGATCACTTTTGGCAGATTTTCATTATTGTTTCATTTTCTCCCCGTTAACGGAGGAAACATTACTTTAAATCTCTGCTGCTGTGAGAGATGTTAGCTTTAAGTTGATGCAACATAATGACATCTATTGAGGTTACAAACTTCTCTGTAAAGCTTTACTAAAATTTTTCGTACCATTGAGTACCCAGTTTGTCAACAAATTTCGCACCTAAACCGATGGCAAAAAAAGATTACTGTTATTTGAAACTGATAATCGAATACATTATTAAAATCTTAAAATAGAGGGTTGGGCTGAATTCCTTGTCCTTCAAAGAATCATGTGCCAAGGCAAATTCTTGGGACAATCTGAGATAATCAATTCAGTTCATTCTTAACATCACCACATAAAGTGCATGAACATTTTATCACAATGAAATCGATACATATTAACAGCGAATACATGAGATCACAGGTACTTATTACAGCTTCAGGCACCAAATATCATAGATTACCCGGAAGAAAGAAGTGAAGTGATCGTTCTTTGCCCCTTTCAACCCCACTTTCCTATCCAACTTCTCTTATTGCCCACAAATTATCTTCACTGTTTACAGCAAATTACATATTGATAGAATTACATCTTTCGAAGAATTCCATTATTGTCAAGCTGTTCTTCTTCGCCCTTCGACATCTTTGTAGATTGGGTGGTAGTCCACCACATTGGACCACTTCCTTTCGTGGTTACCCACCAGGGTTTCGTCGTGGGTGCCTTCGTAGAGGCCGGTTTTGTAGTAGTGGTGCTAGGTGTAGTGGTGGTAACCAATATTGGTTTGGTTGCTGCTGTTTTCGCAGTAGTCGTTAGCGGGGTTACCCACCAAGGTTTTGTCTTGGCTGTTTTGTCAGCTTCTGACCAGAATGGACGAGAAGTCCGTGTAGTGGGCGTGTCTGTCAAACGCGTCCTACGAGTTGTCGTGGTAGTGGGCGCGGTTGTCGTTGGTGAAGAGCGTGTTGTTACAATGCTATGGTCAGTGTTCAACGAACGCGGATGAGTTGTTCTTGTTGTTGGACGAGTTGTTGCTGATGTAGTTGATGTAACGGTTGTAGGTGTGGTTGTTGGCGATTCCGTAGTCGGTGTGGTCTAAAATATACAAAGTTGAGGGAATGAACATGGGAATGCGAAATGATAAATAAAAATTTATAGCGGGATAGCGACTACACCTTGCCGAAATGGGAGGTCTCTGGCGGACATCTGCAACAAATACGCACCTCGCATACATGCGATGCGTCTGTGATTGTGTCAGATGTCCGCACGGGAACTGCCCTTTCGTAGACTGATAGTCCTACCTCTTATAATATCTGCTCCATGAAAAAGTCAGTCGCCCGAATAGGTTGAAAGCATGCAAAGCTGACGCGCACGCGACGCTAGCATTTGCCAACCATGAGGCGCGCGGATGACCGCTGAGAGAGCGTG